TGACAGCCTGGGGGACAGGACTGCTCTGRAGGCAGGATGGGTGTTTTTTCAGCCTCCTCATTCCTGAAGTGAGGCTGCKGGTGTTTGGCTCCACCCTTCTCCTTTGCAAGAGGTAGTGGTGAAAGATGAGGCCACTTTGAGTCAGTCCCAGGAGGGGTTTGCCTGCCCTGCTCAGAGTCAATGATGACTATTTTCCCTTGCCAGAGCAATGCTYRGGATATCACAGCCCCTGTGTTACCGAATTGCACGCTACCTGTTCAGGATGCTCCGCAGAGAGGAGGCACGCTGGGAGATCCCTGCCATGGCCTTCCTTGTTGAGGTGAGCCTGATGGAGAGCACTGCCTTGTCAAGCTGTGTCCCACCACTCTGCTCTCTTGGAGATGCAGCTGCGGGACAGTCTAGTTAGTGGAGGAGGAGCAGAAGTTGGGCTTTGCTGTGTTCCCTTTGTCCCTTGATGCTGGGTTGACACTTGTTCACACTTATGGAGCTGTCCTGTGGGAGCTCCTGCTTTCCCATCATGCATTTTCAAGTCCAAGATAGTGGATGCTGCCAAGAGCTGGGGGACACAATGGAGCAGGTGAGGAATCTGCGCAGGGCAGTGCAAGCATGGGCGTGCTCCGCAGCCTCTACTATTTTTGGCTCTGCTGCCTTGGATCTTGCCCATCCCCTCATTGCTGTCCGTACCTAGCGCTGTGCAGTGATGGTGTCATATCAGCTGTGCTTCCCTCTGACTGATCTGTGTGTTTCAGCTCCTGCCTTGCCTTAACATAAAACAATGGGGTGAACGTATCAGACAGCTTGCCCAAATCTACCTGTTGCGGGAGTGCAGATTGATGCGTCTCCTGGTGCTCAGATGCCTCGTGGTGCTCTCCAAGAGACCCTCTATGGTGAGAAGTGTGTGCTTGGGTAACAGAGTAGCTTGCACTTGGATGAGCTTCAGAAGATGGGCTGCTGCTCCCACCTCTCCTGACTCCCCATGCATCTACCAGAGACCATTGGAACAAGTCTTTGCCTTTAGGCTCTGAGGCAGCAACATGGAATTGAACTGCTACAGTGATTCTGGTGATGCTGCCTTTCATGGCTTCACAACCTTGCATTGTGTTCCACACAGGCTGGAAGCATGCAAATTCTGACTGAAAGCTTCACAGAGATACTGAAGGATGGAGACAGAGAGGTGGTGTGGCTGACTCTCTCTGTGCTTAGTGAGATGCTCCTGCACACGGATGTGCCAATTGCCAGCTCCCTTGCTCTGCAGCTGGCTGAGGCATTCCAGCCTCTCTTTGACCATGTAAGGTTCTGTGGTCCCTACCACAGGTGCTGCTAGGAAACTGTGCCCTTGTGGATTTTCATTTCCATGCCCAGGCAGGCCTGGAGCAGTCAGGGCTGAGCTTCTTCTCTCCTCCTTTTCACAAGGACTCCAGTCATGTGCAGCTGCTCTCCATGCGCCTCTTTAAAGTGGTGTTGGAGTTGGCAGAGGAAGACACAGATATGTCCCTGCATGACTGTGTGCACCAGAGCCTGCTCCCGCTCTTCTATCACATGTATGATGAGAACCAGTTTGTGGCACAGGTGAAGATTCTGAGCTACTGGTGACCCCTGTGAGCAGGCTCAGCTGCCTTCTCCTCTGTGCCTCAAAGAATGCAGCACTCCTGCCTTTGGCTGGCCCTATGTCCTGGCATGCTGTGCCATTTCCCATTCTCTGCTGCTCTGCAGGCCTCTTGGGAAACCCTGCTTCGAGCAACAATATTCCTGAAGATGTGGAATCTTGTGCAGCTGCTGGAGACAGAAGAGCGGTGGAAGTTTGCCGAATGGCTGGTAAGGATGGCCTCATAGCCCCAGAATCCATCTGAACAAGCCCTTTGCCCCCAATACACATTGTGTGGGACTGGCAGCTGTGGCCCCTGCCTACTGCTGTGCTCATCACCAACAGCCTGCGCCCCACACACTGCTCCCCACACACTACTCCCCTCTAGTGTAAGCCCTGTAGGCTCTTCTCCAGGCTCCAGTCCCTCCCCGAGTCAGGCTGCCAACAGAGCCCCAATCCAGCTGCGCTTTGGCATCAGGACAGCCCTGAGGCTCCCTGTGTAGTAACCATCTCTCTGTTCCCTCCAAACCCTGGCACTAGCCAGCTCTTGGCTGGCCATCATGGGTGGCCATGCAAGGATGCCAATCCTGGATGCAGGGGCTGTCCATTCAAGGGAAAGAGTCAGTGCCAATCCTTCCTTCTGCTCCCTTGTGCTCTCTTCAGCTGGAAGAGGAGATCGACAGAGCAGACGCGTACCTGCGCCAGTCTGTGACGTACCTGCAGAGCCCACAGAAGTCCATAAGAGAGGCAGCTGTTAGGCTCACTGGTGAGCCAAAACCCTCAGGGTCCCTCACCACCCTACTGCAGCTGGCTCCTAGCCCCAGCAGCAGGTCTCAGCCCAGTGGCTCTGTACCCTGACTATGCCTCAGGACTTCCTGCTGCCCTCTCCCACCCTTGCCCTTGCAGTTTATACACAGCTCAGCCCTGCCAAGGGGAAGAGGACATGGCCAGGCTGGAAGCACTGGTGTTGGGAAGCTGTGGTGCTGGGGTGATGACAGCCTTGGTATCCCTAGTGCTCAGAATCTGCCACTTGAGCAGGCAGTAGGCATTGCTCTAGGTCACCTGCGAGGGTGAATGAGGGCAGTGGGATATCAGAAGGGACAGGCATGAATGCATGAAGGATCCTGGGTGGGTCTCCGCTCTGTCCACACTAGAGATTTAAGGGACATTTTGAGGTATTCCCAGCAAGTGCCTTAGGGCTAATCGTCTTAGTTCCAGCTCCCTTCTGGCCATGGGAAGAGCTGGGATTGGGTGGGGTGGGAAAAGATGGGGCTGCCCTGACAAGAGGGATTCCTTGGGTCCCCAAAGGTCTGGGCTCTGATCTTGTCTCGGTTCCTCTCTATTCCAGCCCTTCAAGGCACAAATAACTTTTTACCCTCCATCTCAAACCTTGCAACTCAAACCGTGCACATTCTAAGACCTTCAGAGAGAAATCCCAACTCCAGATTCAGGCAGCTACGTGACACATGGAGGAAGCGACCTACTCTCTTGGAAAATGACTGGCCTTCTCTGTGGCACAATGCCTGGTCACGTTTCTGGAAGTCCCTGCATAACTGATCCCAGGAGCTCTCAGGTCCATCTAAATGGGCAGGAAATACTAGATGGCTTCTGGTCAATCCCCACCCACAGGACAACTCTCAGATCACTTTTCTTCACCCCTTTTAAGGAAACTTTTAAAATGCAAATATAGGTGCTAGCTTCAATCGCTTTGTTTGGGCTCATGCCACTCAGAGCCCAATTTGCAGCTGCACACTGAGCTATCCCTACTGACTGTAAATCTCAACGCTCCTACCTGTGTTTTAATTGAGCATACCTGTTAATACACTAACAGTAAAAAAAAAGGCATTTAACCATGCTCTTACATACAACACTATAACAAGTAACAAACTTAATAGAATTAAGGCTAACGAGAATGTCATAGGACAGAAATATTTATCAATATGAAACCACAAAGGATTCTCAAAAGTCAATTACTAATCAAGAGGTTGATCCTTTTCTCTACTCTGGGTCAAGCATTCATCTCTATCTAACAACTCTTATATTTATATTTGTTGTAACATGAGCACTGATTTCTTTATGAAATTTTTTTATTATTCTTCCTGAATAAGTCTTGCTGGAAAGGCTTCTGCCCAGCCTGACAGCTGGTCTACTACCACCCAGCCACAGATGGCATGTTCATAGGGTCTCTTTGCAGTCCCTGAAAAAGGAAGTCAGTTCATAGTCACCCTCCTAACTGTGAGCTCAGTCTGATACTTGAAAACTCATGTCAAGTTGGACAGCCATTTGTGATTCTTTTTGTGGCGGCATAAATTCCTGGAGCTAGCTGTATTTTTTTGTACTTGGATAACTATTGCCTGTGTCCGTCCATGGTTTGTGTCAGACTGCAAACCCTCTGCATGCTTTACAAAGGACCAAAGCTCCCTGCATGCCTGAAAAGAGACCTCAACATCCCCTGTACACTTTACAGGGGGCCTCAGTCCCCTAATCAACTTGGGAGAGACTCTAAAAACCCCTTTATGTGTGCCTTTTGCTGATCAGGCTGTGCACCCATACTCAACACACTAATTTCCCCAACTATGTATGTAATGCTGCAGTGCCTGAAAGTCTGAAATAGTTTATGGAATTTAATAAAAATAATTTGAGACGCTTATGAGTTTATGTTGAATATACTCTGGGAATTTAACATTGATCCTTTGGATACTCCTTGCTTCAAAGATCTCAGGTGAACTCACAGTTTCCCATGAACTCCACAACAGTTGGCTGTTTGAAGAAGAGGGGCTCTGAAGGTGGTGGCCTAGGGTCCCATGTGGGTTGCTAAACTGTTAAGAAAACTTCCCTATCTGACCACGTCACGACCCATTTGGTTGGGGAGGTGATGTTTGCTGTAAATTTTTTGTTCACTGAACAAAGACACCAGTGCACGTGTCAGGGACTTTTATCTTTTTTCTCTATATTCACGTAAAATCCAGAAACTAGCCCACTATAAAACTGTAGAAATGTTGGCTCGAAAGCTCTCAACTTTTACAACTGACTTTAACAATCTCCCAGTCCTCACCACAGACTTTGGTACAGAACAAGGGATGTCACAGACACACTTTGCCAAGACATAACAAAAGCGGCGAGAAATAAAAATGGAAAACAGCGGCTGAGAACTGCGATAATATTGCCATCTACATTTAACGTCATTTAATTAAATCGCATGATTAGTGATGTGACAGGCATTAGCACTGGCTCTTTAGCCACAGCCGACTCTACCGCGCAACACCGCTTCCACAATACACAGTGTAACACTCTACCGGGGACAAAAACACTCCAAGCGCTTCCTTCCGCTTGCAAGGCAGCCCCGCCTGCGCAGCCCCGGCTCCGGCTGTCGGCTCCGCCCGCTCCCGGCCGGCGCTGGGCAGCACGTCACGTCACGGCGCCGCGCCGGCCCGGCCCTGCAGCTTCCCTGGGGCTCTCCGCTAGCCCGGGGGCCGCTCCTGTGGTTCCCGGCTTGTGGCGGAGCCCCGGCGCTGTCGCGGAGCCATGTCGCGGCCGAGGAACGTCCCCCCGCGACCGCCCGATGGGGGCACAGGCGGCTCGGGCGCCCCCGCCGCGCCGGGCCGAGGCCGAGGCGGCAAAGGTCTGAGGGATATCCGTGTGGACGAGGAAGTGGAGATCGCGGTGAATCTGGCTCTGGAGCGGTTCCGCTACGGCGAGGACACGGGTGCGTAGGGCAGCCGGGCCCGCGGGCTCTGCCGGCGGGTGCATCTCGGGTGCCCGCGGGCTCTGCCCCAGCGCGGCGGCGGCTCGAAACGGGGCCGTGTCCCGGACGGCTGCGAGGGGACAGCGCTGCCACCAGCCCTGGCGTTCACGGCAAGCGTGGGGGGTTTGGGGATTGGGAAACTCGTATCGCCGAGGTCATACGTCAGAGACACTGCCTGTTGAGTGTTTATTTTTATTTTTTAAAATTATCTTTCTAGAAATGGAATTTCCATCTTCTTTCACTAGAACTGAAAGAAAGTTTGTTCACCGGCTCTGTCAGTCTCTTGGACTGATATCTAAAAGTAAAGGGTAAGTTTGACTTTAATTTTTATGTATTATTTTTTCCTTTTGGTGCATGTTTGTGGGATTTCGTTATCAGTGTTAAAACGGTGCGTATTTTTAGCTTGTCCTTCACTGTTGCTGGGAATGGTACAAAGGAAGATACAGTAGGTATAAAAATAAGCATCTCTGTGCTTTGCTTGATGCCTGCATCCAAAAGCTGGTGACATGCTAATCTTCAATGCAGTTGTGAGGATTTCATGTCCATAAAGAAGAGTTCTCAGGAAGATTTGTCCTGGTTTTTTTTTTCCCTGCACTGATGTGTATTTTGCACAGAATCTCCTACATTGACAGCTAAAGTGTAACTTAGAGTAGCACGTTAAAAAGAGTTACTTCTGTTGGGAAGCACAGAGGAGAATCGAATGTTGCCAACAGGCAGAGAAAGTCATTCTTGGCCTCTACTCAGCACTGATTAGGCTACACCTGGAGGGTTGTGTCTGTCCAGTGCTGGGATGGCTGGGAGGACAGAGACCTAGACTGGAGAGAGTTACGTGGAGGACCAGCAGCCTGCTGAAGAGGGTGGAGCATCCCTGTGAAGAAAAGGCCAAGTGATGGAACTGTTCAGCCTAGAGAAGACAAGGCTCAGGGAGTGCTCAGCACTGTATATAAGTACTTGAAATGAGGGTGTGAAGGGGACAGAGCCAGGGGCTGCCAGAGGTGGCTGCGTCTCTCCTCCCAGAGGCTGCCCTGCCAGTACCTTTGTACCTGCACCAGTCTTCCACCCCTGCCAGGGACAGGCCACTGGACTATTAGTGTGAACCTTCTGTTCTTACCCGGAAAAGCTGTTTTGAAAGGGTTGATATGTTTGTTGTAGCCCAGGCACAAGTTAGTCCCGTTTCAAATGTACGTACAATTCTTTGCCTTTTTGGTGTCATAGTTCAGTCTGACAAGTAGTGCAGTGTTATGATTAAGGGTTTTGGGTCCATTTCTACATGAAAAATCTTTGCTAATGAGCGTCCTGGGATCTAATATGTTCTTCTGGATTTTGTTAAGGCATGGAATGTCAGTAGGAGGGAGCTTTTTTGTCTATTCTGCCTATTGATTTTTAACTTCTAGTCAAGTTGGTGTCATAACTCTCAGTATTGATTGATAAAATGATTGGTAGAGCTGGCTGTATTTTGGGAGACATGCAGTGATAACCAGGGCATAGTCATCTGATGTCTGCAGTGTCTGTTCTACTCTATGTCCCATGAATAAAGGGTGCTTTTGATGATGACTGATGTGAATGTTCCGTTGTGCTGCTTAGGACATCATTTGGAAGATTCTAGTTATGACATTATATTTGAAAATAAACTGAAAGTAATCTTTAAAGAATTGTTGTCAAAGATCATGACACGGAGGTAACTAGTTTGCTTATTCCTAAAATGCCTTTTTTTCCTTTCTCCCAGAAAAGGAGCTAATCGATACCTAACTGTAAGAAAAAAGAATGGATTGGAACTAACACATGCAGTAATGACTTGTGCCTTAACTCCTGGTACAAAACACATTATTCGTACTTTAATTCGGAATTTTCCCGTCACAAATAAAGAACGAACAGAACTTCTGCCAAAGACAGAACGAGGAAATGCCTCTGCCATTGAATCTGGTATGTTCAGTGATGTATCTTGTGATATGGACTTGTCAGTCAATGTACTTGAAAAAACAACCCCCACTGTCTTCTGTATCGTGTTCTGTCTTGACACTTTTTTTCCAAGCCTGTTAATCTTCTTGACTTTGAATTGTTAGTATAAGCTTGTTTGAAACTGGTGACATCAGGTGCTCAGGCAGTCATGTCACCCACATTGCAGTGTCTCCCTTTTGTCACATAAATTTTGATTCTTTGAGCCAATTTCAGCCACTTCTTTTTTTTAAAAAACAGTTGTGAAATGTGAATTTCTGCAAGTTCCATGGGGTAAGATTGAAAAGACAAGTGTTACCATCACTGTGTCTAACAACACCCTTATGAGAAAATGAGACTGGCTGTTGTGCTTTAGAAATCCATGTTCTTGATACAAGAAGGAGTTCATGTTTTGTTTCATTGTCTTTTAAAATAGATTTGGTCTCTAAGAGGCTGTTATGTAAACTTGATTACTAGAGTATGTAAAGTTCTCTGGCAGACAAACTTGAGATAAGAGTTTTTTAAACGATGCTTTTAGCATGGGTGTTGCCTTAACAGTTAGGATTGTAAAAGTTCTAGTGTTTATGTGTATGACGATGGCTATAGTGAACAGAAAACAGCAGTATGCCTTGTTTCAGTGGATATTTATGACTTATTATGTTTGTGCTTCAAGTGCTTCCTTTGCTAGGTTTCTTTCTCAGTTGTTTCTCTTGTTTAATAGGATTTTTAGTGAACAGGGGGAAACAATAAGAATACCAAAAAGCAATTTCTTAGGGATGTAAGATATAAATTAATGAGTAGTGTAAAATTTGTTTTTCTTCTCCAGAATTGTCTTTGGCTCTTTTAATCTGTTAGTCTGTGTCTGTCTTCGTAAAACAGTGTTTGTAATTTAGTGTTCAAATCTGTTAATTGCATTAAATAGTTGCATTATGGCTATATAAGTGCATTAAAATTGAGTTTACAGTAAGCTTCTCATTCTTTTGGAAAAGAATTTTTAAGGAATTAGAGTAGCAGTTAAAATACTGGCAGTGAAGTAGCCTCCTCAGAAGACTGCAGGTTTGTTAGGTACTTATGCAGTGCTTTCTAAGGCTGCTGCATGGCTCCAGGGCCCTTGATACATCATGGTTCAATTAGTATGTGTTAAGACAAATCTTGCAGACTAAAGTAGTCGGTTATGTAAGACTTACTGAAAGGTTGTTTTAAAGACCAATAATGATGTGAAAAAAGGCATATGAATCACAGTAAAGTTGTCTTTTTGTTAGAAAACACACTTGTCAGTTTGGCATAACTTAAGTGTTTAACTGTAGGGTGGGTTTTTCTAGGCAAACTCATGAGACAGGAATGTGTAAACCAATACAAAAGCCAAGAAGGTGTGCCCCAGGCCTTTTTTCTTTGG